ACAGCACGAGACCATTCAAGAAGGTCACGTCAGGAAGTCACTATAAGTGCCTGTCAGATAATGATGTGTGTCGTCAGTCAATTTGACGCGCTCTGTGGGTGAGTGAATGCATTCCTTATTTGTGCCAGTCAGTCAGTCAGAGGACGACAGACAGACAGACAGACGTACACATACAGACATATCATGACATCAATCAACCGACTGGGCAACGACCGGCGATCCATGCCATGCAGCAGCAGCAGCGTCCAAGCCTGTCACCCACCCATCCCATCCCATCCCACTCTTTCTCTCTCTCCCCTCAAAGTGACAAGCAAGTATCGCGGTAGACGTGACGGCGACCCACACGACGAACACGCGAAAGTCATCGAGGCCGAACCACTTAAACAGCGAGTCGACGGCGTCGATGGCGGTATCGGGAGGCGTTGGCGTGCGCCTATCCTGGGACTCCCGCATTTGCTGCAGCTGCTCCTCGAGTGCCTTGATGCGTTCATTGGCCGTCCGAGCGTCCTCTTGTGAGCGGCGAAAGTCGTCCATGGCCTTCTGGAGCTCCTCGGTAGGCGGAGCCTTATGGCTGGTGCTCACATGGCGGCGAAGGGACAGCACAGAGGTGGGCGGTGGCTCGAAGATACGCCCTGGCCGGACGACACGGAGGAAGCGGAAGAACATCATGATACTCTTCGCCGCGTGATCTCGCAACGACAAACCGCTCTCTCTCCGGAAGAGGAGGGCTCGGATGGTATCGCTACCACGCTTCTGTATCTGTCATGTTTTGATGCTGAAGGTCCGCTGACACCGGCAGCATGCATCTCGATTCAGCATCATTGTGCGTCATATCCGTGGCCCTCCTGCTGCCCCTCCGCACCGCCTCGTACCGCCCTCCGAGTCCCCACTCACTCACGACGTCCTTGACCCGCTCGCCATCTCCCATCAGGAAGGGCATGCGCGAGCAGAGCGGCAGACCGGCCCTACGAGCGGCGGCTGGGAGATCTGCGGTGGACCTGACCAAGCCACCACCAGCCAGAGTGTCGCTGCCGATTGCCATCCCCATGCCCAGCAGCGCACCCACTCTCGCCAACGGGGACTCAAGTGGTGGTGCCGCTGGCGGCCTGGTTGACCTGAGGAGGGTGGATTCTGAGCGGGCGGTGCGGGACCAGATCACGGCTTGCAAGGACGTCCCGTCGTTTGCAGTGTTTGTCGACGAGCGTCTGGACGAGCTGTCGCCCTTCAACGTCCTCTTCGCCTATGACCGCGGCAGGCGGCTCAGAAACAACATGCAACGGTTCAACGAAGACGGCCCCAGCTACTCGTCGCTGCTGAGCCAGCGGCAGGAGCGGATCCGCCAGAAATGGGCGAGTGTGGATGCCAACAGCACGGCGCACATCGTCTTCAGCCTGCTCAACGAGCGGCGGAGCAAGACCAAGGACCTCCTTGCCGTCACGTGCCTCACCCTGATGGACGACCACCTGCTGCACAAGCTGGAGGTGGGGGACTACGGCCGCCTCGTCCGCATGATCCACAGACGGGAGGAGGACCTGTGGCGGGGGTGGAATGTCGGCAGCACCGTGAGGGACGCCGTGCAGCGAGTGGAAAGTGCGGCTCTGCAGCACATCAACGCCACAGACAGCGACCTTGTGCGGCTGCTGGCGGGGGCGGTGGCAACGGCGCACTATCGTAGAGGGCGACCTGACCACTGGGCCCCGACCAACACCACTGACGCTCTCATGGATGCCACTGCACAACAGCTCCAGACAAGGTAAGCAAGAGCGTTCCTCCCGGGTCACGAGGTTAGGTCGTATCTGCCTCGCTGTGTCCTTGCAGGCTGTCTGAGTTCACCTTTTCCCAGGCTCTAGAGGTGCTGCATCGGCTCCGTTTGGCCGACAAGGTGACCCCCGCTCTGCTGGAGCACACTCTGCAGCCCTTTGCGTCGTCCATCGACCAGCTGGGGCCCGAGGATTTCCACCGATTCGTCACCCTCCTCCGCGACACCTACTTCGGACACGCACACGTCACACGCCACGACGACCGCCTGGGCTCTTACGTGCTGTTCGACAGCAGCAGGAGGCCGGGGAAGGTCGGCAATGCCGCCTTTAACAGCCTGCCTGCTTCAGCGAGGGGCTTCTTCACCCAGGCGTGGGAAGTATACGAGAGGGACGCCGCGCGGCTGTGGCAGCTGCCCAAGGCGGGGCATGTCCTCAACATCTTCCGACGACTCGGCCTGCTGGACCGGCAGCGGCTGGAAAGACTCGCGCACGCCGCCAGCCCCGCCATTGATGCGCTTGCCGACGGCCTCAAAGACCCCAGCTGGCCCGTCGGCAGCTCCGCTGAGCACCTCTGTGTGCTCGCGTGGAAGATGGCTGACCTGGGGTGCCGCGACAAGACCTTCTGGCGATCGGTGGAGAGGGTCTTTCTTGTTATCATTGAGAGGGAGATGCAGCCAGGGCAGACAGAGCCACCGCGGCAGAGGGGGCGGCAGCAGGCCCGGGACAAGGCGCCTCTGCGGTGGGTGGCGCGCGCCGCTGCCAAGGCGGCTGAGCATATGAAGGAGGCCATCACGCAGCTGGCTCAGGTGCCGCCGGAGCGGTTTCGGGAGCTGCCCCTGATGACGCTCGCCGACCTGATTGTTGCTCTGCACTATCGTGGGATGACTGGAGAGAAGAGCGTCTTCTTGCGGATGATCGACGACGTCATCCTCTCGTCATCTGAAGGCGATAGCACACACACGCTGGGCCGCCTGTCGTGGACTGAGCTGACGTCTCTGCTGTGGATGCTTGCCTTTGTGGGGGTGGTGGACTCGAGGGCCTTCACTGCACTGGCGTCGGAGGTCAACCACAGGAGCAAGGAGCTGGTGGAGCAGCTAACGTCGATAAGCGATTCGCAGCCCTCTCGCGAGCTCATCGAGAAGATCAAGCTGCCCACACTCATGTGGGCCCTGTCGCGCGCACGTGACAGCGCCAACGCCCTCAATGAGACCTGGCGAATGCTCGCCATCGTCGCGCGATGTCGGCACGAGCGGAGTCCTTTGCCGGTGTCTGACATATCCGAGATCCTCTTCGCGTGGGCGTCCGTGGGATTTGTCCTCGATCCGCGAGGCGTGGTTGCGCCGGACCAGCAGGGGGTGGACGACATCGACGGCCGCGGGGGTGGGGCGCCCCTCGATCACAGCGAGTCTGACGGTTTCCATCCTCGATGGGTGTCTTTGGGTTTGTGGCACGACCAGGGCGCGGGTCCGGCCAACTACCAGCTGAGCACCCAGGTGGCTCCGCGAGAGGTGCTGGACTTCGCCACGGTGCTGCTGCACGAGCTGGCGACGGGCGAGGGGCTGCAGGTGCCTGAGAGGGGCTACGCCAAGCTCATGGATGAGGAGAGGGGGGTGGCCGTCTCGCTGCCGGCCATGGACAAGGACTTGCAGGGCAGCGACTTGTCCAAGAAGTTCAACCGCAAGTTCGTCATGATGACCTGGGCACTCACAAGACTCCGGGCGGCACAGCGGTACTCAGACGATGCGCAGGGCGATGACGTCGTCGACCTCGCCGACCTTGACCTCTTCGCGGCCACACCCATCTCACCTGAGGAGCGGGGAGACCAGCAAACACCCACAGCATTATCATCAGCAGGAGTATCGGCTGACGTGTTGCCGAAGGTGAGCATGCGGCAGGTGTACGGCCGGCTGGCACGTGAGAGCGTCCGGCGGCTCTCGGCCTTCACTGTCCGCGACATCGCCAACCTCGCCTGGGCCTTCTCGGCCGCCGGCGTCTACTGCCCGCAGCTCCTCAAGTACTTCGGCGACGCTGTGGTGCCCCACGTGTCGCGGCTGCGGTCCAAGGAGCTGTCGATGCTCATGTGGGCCTTCGCCGTGTTGGAGCAGCCACACGAGGAGCTCACCGAGGCGGTCGCGGCGCGCATCGTGAACGACACGAGGGGTGGCACGAACGGGCTGGTGCTGTACGACCTGCCGATCCTCCTGTGGTGTCTGGCCAAGATGGGGTACAGCCGCCCAGAGGTGTACCTGCACGTGTGCGACCTCGCCCTCAAAGACCAGGACGAGTACAAGCAGTACCCCCTCCCCGCCCCCTCGCGCAACGAGCTGACGCTGGGCGAGCTGAGCACTCTCGCCAACGCCCTGGTCCGGGCAGAGGTGGTGGTGCCGGAGGTGTTTGACCGGCTGATCAAGCAGTGCTCCGGGCGGCTGTCTGAGATGCCCAACAGCAAGTGGTTCACACACATGGTGTGGGCGTGTGCGAGGAGCGGATACATGGAGGACACCTTCTGGGAGGAGGCCAAGAGGGAGGTGCAGCGGAGGCTGGCCATCGACCCGACGAGGGAGGGGCCGGGGGTGGGGGCCTCATCTCTGCAGTCGGTCGATGCCGCCATGCTCGCATGGGCACTCCAGAAGGCCAGGTGGCTCGACTCACAACTCCTCTCGGACCTCATCAAATGCGTCGAGGTGAGCCCAAACACAGCACAAGGGGAAGCGGGCACCCGTGAGCGCATGGATGGATGGATGTGTGTGTGTGTGTGCTCAGAGGGACATGTATCAGTGCGGCCCGACTGAGCTGTCGGTGATGCTGTGGGTGCTGGCTAAGCGCGGCTTCCGCCACCAGAAGTTCCTCGACCGCGCCGCCAGGTACTACCTGGACTTCACAGACCCCAACCCGCCCCCAGACAGCCCGGCACTCACCCGGCGGCCAAAGCGCCTCAAGTCCCACCAGCGGCCCGGCACACACCTGAACATCGGTGTGGTGGCCTACTCGTTCGCCAAGCTGGGTTACACGGCCAAGGACACGGACCTGTTTGGTTCGATAGCGGATCGAGTGGTGGCGTGCGACCCGCTGCTGCAGCACAACTGGGTGGCGCTGCTGGTGTGGTCCATGGCCAAGGCGGGATGCTTTCACCAGGAGCTGCTCACACTCATGGCACACGACATCAAGTCCGGCACACACGACCTAGACACCCCACAGGTGCGCGGGGCGGGGCGGCAGGATCTGACAGATGCGATGCGTCCGTCCGTCCATTAAGGCGTTGGTGTACAGCACACATACATACCCATGTCTGTCTGTCTGTCACGTTATCTATCTGGATCATCAGGATGTGATGCTGTATTTGTGGGCCTTCACTCGTCTGGGTGTGACCGACCTCGAGCTCTATGACGTCCTCGCCAGCCAGGCCTGCCGACTGGCACCCCAGGCCCACCACATCGAGATCGGCAACACACTCGAGGCCATACAAACCGCACTCAACATCACCGCCAACCTCCCACTCACACGCCTGCAGGGGCCGGGAGCATACACGCCCCCCTCTGATGAGCCGTCTGGCCTGATGGGTTACCGCGGTACTGCCGATGAGCAGCAATGGGTTGCTGGTGTGCGCGGGCGGGTGGAGGAGTCGATGAATGTGATGATGCGTCACGCCTTCTCTGAGTTGCCCTTTTTGGCGACCAACCACTACCATGAGGTGCTGGACATCGTGAGAGCCCAGCCGGGCGAGAGGTTTCGGGACGCCATGGCCGAGATCACTGCGGTCAGTGGGACGGATGGCAAGGAGGGAGCGGAGCAGACAAGGGACAAGAGAGAGGCGGCAGCTGGTTTCTGTCTGTCTGTCTGTCCTCGCAGAAGGTGCCGGAGGTCATGAAGCACAGCGACGATGTCTTGTTGGATAGAAACAAGATCGTCTTTCTCGCCAGAGCCACCACTATGGCCCTCCACATAGACCCGGTGGGTGGGTAACACACGCACAACCAGCCGCATGTTCGTTCGCACGATCATTCTTGTGCATCTTGTCGTCGTTGGGCTGTTGTGCCTGCAACCAGGCACTGTCGCAGCAGCTGTTGTCCAACCTGCGTCAGCTGCTGCTGGCGATGGATGGTGGGCGGCTGGCGTCGGCTGCCTGGCATCTGCGGTCGGCGGGGACCTTCGACGACTTGGTGCTGACGCCCTTCGAGGAGGTCATTATCACGCAGTTGCCGACACTTGACGCCGTCCACATGTCCCGGACACTGGTCTGTCAGTCAGTCACTGAGGCAGACAGACGGGAGGGCGAGTGAATATATGTCCCATGTGTGTGTTCTCGTCTGTGTGTGCAATGCAGTATGGTCTGCGTAAGGACCAGCTGCTGCTTAAGAGCCCTGTGGCCGACAAGATCGTCCACCGGCTGCTGCAGCTCTTCACCGCTGACGAGAAGCTGCTGGGCCCGATGGTCCTGGCCAACATCGCCCCCGCCCTCCCCGACCTGCTCGACAACCCGCGTATCGGGCGCCCGCAGAACGTCCCACCCGAGAAGCTCTCGGCCATCGCATTCCCCAGCCAGCCCGGCCCCTCTGCCGCCGATGACCCGCTGGATGGGTCTGGGACGGCTACCTCACTCGTCAGCCCCGAGCTGCCCGAGCCCATCAAGCCGAGGTGGATCTCGCCCTATCAGAACTGGACGGCCCAGCAGCCGGCCCGGCCACACCACGTCTCTGCATCGGTGCCGCAGGAAGTGTGGGGGCCTGTGTACTTCCACCCGTCCCTCCACCACGCACCCGTGCCGGCCACCCCTGCAGACGCCCTGGCGAGGTTTGCGTACCGTGCGGCACTGGAGCACGGCCCGCAGATCGAGGTTGACAGGCTGCCGTCGGTCATGCTGGCCTTTGCCGAGGTGGACCCCATCCACATCCCCGCACCCCTCTTCGCCTCCGCCCTCCACCGATGCACACAGGCCCTCCTCTGGCCAACGGGCAAGGCACACGAACTCAGCGACGTCCGCTTCCTCACGGCCCTCAGAGCACTCATTTCTGTGGGGGCCTTCGCGCGTCCCGACCTCTGGGAGGACAGGGACAAAGGCAAAGGGGACAAGGAGGACGGCAGGGAGCTGGCCAAGAGGTGGGCGCTGTCGGCATTCAGCCGCCTGGACGGCTTCTCCACGGCGCAGCTGGCGCAGCTGGTCGACATATTCGAGAGCACACTGGCCGCACAGCAAGCCCGCCAGAGGGACAGGGGCGGAGGCGGCAGTGGTGCAGACGAGGAGGAGAGAGAGCCCACGGATGCAGTCGACGATGCCCTTAATGTCGACTTCGGGCCGTGACCATGCTCATGTGTTGACTGACCCCTTTGTCTGTCCTGATTGATGGAGGCAGGCAGGCAGCCAGGCAGGCAGGCAGGAAGGGATGGGCGAATGGGATGGGTGGTGCGGGGTACATACTTACGTATTTGTGGCCTGTGAATGAAGTAGAGCTGGTGCCTACATAGTAGAATATGTAAAGCACTTGAGTCCGTCCGTCCGTCCGTCCGTTGTGTGCAGCCAGCCAGCCAGCCAGTCGTGTCCGACAGAACAGAGCGCTCACGTGTGCAGTGAGTGCATGTGTGAGTCTTTGATACGTACGCGATGACTGACTGACTGACGTTTTAAACTCAACCAACGGCCTTACCAATAGATTGCGGGGAGCGGACGCACCGCACCATACCACACACCCCATTGTGCGTAGATCGGTGAGGCATGGCATGGCCATCACAACACCCACTCCGACGCACGACGAATTTGATGGCTTATGAATCAATCCATTTGTTTGCCGTATGCCACTGCCGGCCAGCCGTCTACGCAACAACACAGCGCGAAAAGGCTCAGTGCAGCGTGGCGCTAGCGGCCCATTGCAGTCTCGACGATTGCGATTGGAGATCCCCCCGTCTGTGACCGCACTACGCCCCCAGGCATCATCATGGCAGAGCAGACGCCCATTCACCTTGCAAGGGACTACGTGGGCGTCTTCAACGGCATCGGCAAAGACAGCAAAGACAAGCCCACCGGCAAAAGGTCCTCCGACCTCGCCAACGCCTTCAAAAGGCAGCAGTTCGACATCGGCTGTGAGCAGTGGGAGCCGTCGCCGTCCGAACGGGCCGCGGGTGAGAGCAAGAGCGCCTACCGTGACCTGCGGGAGCCTGGGGAGACTTACAAGGCTGACTACTCCCCTCCCCCGTACAAGAACTATGCACCGCTGATAGGTACTTACATGTGTCTCCATTCACGCAGTGAGTGCATCAGATGGCCCGGCCCCAACACTTATCTGTGTCTCACATGTACACACGTCTGCAGGTCCCTGCCTGACCCAGAAGGCCGGCAGGTCGCTTGCAGGCGTGGTGACCGAGCAGCAGCTGGCGTACGCGTCCCTCGAGGAAGGGGCGAGGGAGCGGCTGTCGAGTGAGGCCCGTGAGCAGAGGGAGGCGAACGCCAGCAAGGGCAGGAGCCAGGTGGAGCTGGCCCCAGAGGTCATGCGTAAAGGCGTGACTGCCAAGGAGCACTTCACGAGTGAGAGCCAGCGGTTCTTCTGCCACCCGAAGAGGCAGAGAGCGGCGCCGGATGTGTGTCTCGGCAAGACCTTCTGGGAGAAGAAGCCACTCTACAACATCATCTCAAGTAGCCTTAGCACAGACACACAGAGGAGAGCCTGGCACAACATCTGCACGTATATGTGCCCGCCCTTCTTTGGCTCAGATGGTCCGCCATTGGCGTCTGATCTGCACATCCCTGCCGCTGTGGTGGACACCCGAGTGCTGAGAAAGGAGCGCTTCGTGAGTGTGGTCCACCAGGGGATGCCCAAGGGCAGGGCCTTCTACTTCGGCCGCTCCTCTTCCAATGTCTCGCCAGCCTTCCAAACCGGTGCGTAGGCACTCATTCGTCCAACCAACGTAGAATGGCGCGAATGCCCCGCCACACCCACGTAGCTCGTTTTCTCTTTGTAGTGTTGTAGCCGATCTGACTGACTGATAGACACAGACAGACAGACATACAGACCGATGTGTTAACTGCGGTGTGCTGTGCTGTGCTGTGTTGTGGTGAGTGCCTGCAGGCACATATGACCCGATACGAGGCATCTTTGTCGACTACAGAGCTCCCAAGAGACATATGGTGGCCACCAACTGATCGATCGATCAGCGGTGGGAGGGGGAAGGGAAGGCTGAATTAGATGAGGATAGGTTGGGTTAGGTTAGGCAGTGTGTCGATATGCGTAGACATGACATAGGGCGGGGTGAGAGAGTCAGGCGTTTAGACATGAACTGAAACACTCAAACACGCATTAGAGTCAGAAAGACACTCATGGACTGACTGACTGACCTGTCCACTGACCTTGTCCATCCGCACACACAACACACACACACACACACAGACAGACAGCCAGCCTGGGTAAGGAGGTGGATACAAAATGGATGGATGGACCTGTAAGTACCTTTGCATGTACGTGCGTCATGCCCTTCTTAAATGCTACTACCCATCGCATCGCAACACGACACAACCAACACAAGCAGACACCAAGAGGGAGCGAGGAAGGGAGGCACGACAGACAGACAGGAGAGAGGGATAGATGAACGGATAAAGAAAAAAACTAAGGACAGTTCCCCGCTTGCTTACAAAACGTCCGCTGCTGCCTGCCCCCCCACACAGACACACCCCACCCCCAGCTGCCTCATCGAATGCGTTGTGGGTATGGTAGGGTTGCGCCCTCAGTCCCCCGGGCTCCCCTCCTACTATGATAAAGGAGTCAATCAAAGCACTTCACACACATGCAGCAACCACAGACAGACAGACAGACAGACGGACGGGGCGGACACAACCCCCTCAAAAGAGACCTACCAGCCGGCCACATGGTTGCCCCCACACACGTCACTCACTCCACGCGCGACAGACGGACGTAAAGGCGATAGATACACGACGATCGCCGTCAGACATGCGATGCGATGCGTGGCGTGAAAAAATCACCGCTATAGCCAGCCAGGCCAGCTGCGTCAGGTAACCGGCCACCCACGAGCAACACCACATGTCATGAGACACAAAAGACCGACCATGGCCCGCCCCTCCGCTCCCGCCCACCTTACCTTGGCTCCATCCATCCATCCATCCGGGTGAGTGTGCAAAATGATTGATTAGAGACCGACAGAGCGACCGACAGCACAGTGTGTGTGTGTGCGTTAGTTGTGCTGATTGACTTTGCTGATCTGTCCGGTCTCGGCGACGCCGATGGTGGGGCTCCTCAGGAGCTGCTGGAAGAGTGACTTAAACTCATCCATGTCAACCTGCTCACCCACGGAGAGAGGTGCATATGGAAGTCCGTTGTGTGTGTGGATCGGTGTGTGTGGGTGTGGGTGAGCGGATGGCTGGAGGCGATGCATGGGTGGCTGTCTGGGTGGCTGACGTACCTCTCCGTCTCCATCTTTGTCGGCCTCTCGGATCATCTCTTCAAAGAGATCCTCGGCGATGTTTTGACCCACGCCGAACACCTGCATGCCACCACACCATGCAGCCATACACACACAGACACACGTGTGGCTGCGCATGTTGTGTTGATTCGTTCGTTCGTTCGTTCGTTTGTGTGTCTCTCCCTCCCTGCCTACCGCGGCGAGTTCGTCCTTGCTGATCTTGCCCGACCCGTCCTTGTCGAACGCCCTGAATGCGGCCTCGAGCTTCTTCTCTGACAGGAAGGTGCGCCGATCCATCGCAGCCACAAGGAACTCTGCATGGCCAGACCACATGTCACACGCCACCCACACATTTAAATAACATTATGAGACAAACAAAGGTTGGGCCATGTAGGTGGGTGGGTGGGTGGGGTTGGCAGAGGCGATCGTGTGTGTGTGTGTATGTGTATACCGACCGGTGTAGTCGATCATGCCGGAGTGGTCGGAGTCGACAGTTTGGAGGATCCTCTCCACCTCCTCGGCGGCTGCATCGGCGTCACCCATGATCTGCACCACACACGTCGTCACCCACAGAGAGAGATGCACAGAAACACAGGTGCCATCCATCCATCCATCATCCACACGTACGTCCTTGTAGCCGGTGAGGAGCTCTTCGCGACTCAACATGCCGTCGCCTGCACAGCACACGTGGATAAGATGCCAAAGACACCCAAACACCCAGGGTGTGTGCGTGTGTGTGTGTGTGTGTGTGTGTCCATCCATCCATCGACAGACCGTCCCCCCCCACCGTTGGCATCCAGGTGTTTGAATGTCTCTGTGAGTTTCTCCTTCTCCTCCTTGGTCGCCAGCTGGGATATGATGAACGTCAGAGCCGCCTGCTGCAGACGCTGGGACGACCTGCATGCCATGCATCACAGCACAGCACAGCACACGCGCATTCGTTCGCCAGTGGGTGGGAGTGTTGGTGTGTTGTGTGTCCATTCCCTTCAGCTGAATGACATGACTGACTTAAACTGCTTGAGCCGTCCGAGTGAGCTCGTGAGGTCGGCCGATGTGGGCTTCGAGATGTGCACAGAACGGTACTTCTGAATCCAGGGGTCGCTCAACGCCTTGACACACACACACACGGGAGGGAGGGAGGGACTGTGTGCCCTGTGGATGGATGGATGGATGGGCTGCGGCACATACCTCCTCAGCGGACACCCTTCTGCTGGGTGAGTACTCGAGCATCTTGGCGAGGAGGTTCTTGGCCTCCTTGGATATGTTGCGCCACTCAGAGCCCTTTGTCGAATACTGTCCCACACGCACACACAAAGAAAGGGTAAGGATTCGGATCCATACGCATGATTCGCCTCATAGATGCCACAATCCAATCCGCCACGCACCTTTCCGGATTCGACGGCCCTGAGGATGGCGTTGTCGTCCTCCCCGTTGAAGGGCGGGTACCCTGCACACACGGACGGATACACACATGGGAGTGTGTGCTGTCCTCTTCGGGCTGTCTGTCTGTTTCTTTACATACCGACAAGCAGGATGTAGAGGATCACTCCGCTTGACCACACGTCGCACTTCTCGTCGTACCTCCCGCGCAGCACCTCCGGCGCCTGCCGTGGCACACACACACACACACAGAGAGAGAGAGAGAGAGGGAGAGATGCAGACACACTGATGGCATGGCTCTGCCTTGTGTGACGGACGGACTGACCACGTAGTATGGTGTGCCGAGTTTCTGGCTCATCAGCATGCCTTTGCCGTTGTCGCGCGGGAAGAGCTTGGCCGTGCCGAAGTCGATGATCTTGATGGGGGCGCCCTCCGCCTTGCTCTCCAGCAACAGATTCTCGGGCTTGAGGTCGCGGTGGACCTGCCAGCGATCCACACACACACACACATCGAAAGGAGAGATACTAAGGAGGTGTGTGTGTGTGTGTGTTTACGATGTTGCGCTTGTGGCAGTAGACGACGCCTGGCAGAAAGACGGGAAACACGGCACATCTCTCTCTCTCTCTCTCTCCCTCCGTGTGCGTGTGAGTGACAATTGTCTTTGGTACCCGAGAGCACTTGGGCGATTGACTCAGCGGCCATTGCTTCTGAGAAGTGGTTCATCTCGATGACCTTGTCGAACAACTCACCGCCCGTCAACAGCTCACTCACCAAGTGGTAGTGCTTCTGATCTGATTGACACACACAGACACGCACACATACACACACACACCAACAGAGAGAGAGGAAGAGGGAGAGAGAACCTTCATAGAACTCGAAAAGGTTCATGATGTTGGGATGGTCCAGTTCCTTGAGCGCGGCCACCTCGGCGAACAGCTTCTCCTTCTCGTCACCCTTTGCCACCGCCTGCTTCGATATCGTCTTGACGGCGCGAACCTGATCTGCATGCGTCAAACACAACCAACACACACAACCATCCACCCACCGATGCAATCGACGGTCGGTCATCCGCTCTCTCTGTCTGCCTGTCTGTGTGTGTCTAAGTAGGGTTCTTACTGGTCTCCCTGTGGACGGCCTTCCTCACACACCCGAACGCCCCATCGCCCAGCTTCTCGCCCATTCGGTACGAGTCGGTGATCTTGCCCGTCCGGCCGCTCACAAACATGCCCTTGCCCACCTTGAGATCCTCATGCGACGAGGCCGCTGTCACGACATGCTCAGGCCGGGAGAGGGAGGCCGCCCGCGCGTTGTGCTCGTGGGTGACATCCTCCTTCTTGACCTCCTTCGGCTGCCCATTGGAGGCGGACGGGTGGCTCACGGCCGGTGGCTCGCTGGAGCTGCCTGTGTTGTTGCAGTTCCCCATTACTCCGGCAAACAGATGAACGCTGCTGCTGGGTCCAGCCGATGAGTGCAGCGCTGCGCCAGCTTCGAAACTACTGCAAAGATCTGCCTCCAGTGCGAGCTTCAGCTCGCGACTCGAGGCTCGCGACTCCTTTACAATCGCGGCATTTGAGAAGGTAGGCAAAGGGCCCGTGCACCACATCTGCCAAATCTGAGGACTGAAAGTCCGATCTGAAGAAAAGAGTCACTTAGTTGGTGTGTGGCGGTTTGCCTGCCAGGTGCTGTGCGTGGCGGGGTATCACCCACCCGAGGATGGGAAGGTGGTCCCGCACGGTTGACTGGATCTGCGGCACCGACAGGCGATACTTCCGTCGTCTGGTGTGGATCACCCTCCCTTCCCTGTCGCCCCCCATCCTCATCTTTGCATACTTCTACTTTGAATCATTGGGCATCAACCACCCCCTCAAAGACCGCTTTCGCGGACCGGGTATGCGATTGATGTGTTTGCCACGCAGGCGGCCAGGCAGGCAGGCAGGCAGTCCGCGGAGAGAGGCCAAAGGGGCTCCATACGAGCGTCGATGCTGCAATTTGCTGTTGTGCTTGTGGTGTGGTGTGGTGTGGTGTGGTGTGGTGCAGGGTGGCTGCACACTGGATAGCGGACCTCTGGTTGGTGAGAACAATCCAATCCGCACATCATCCCGTCGTTGTCTCCCGGCCTCATCATCATCCCCTCATATGGGTACTTGGAGTCGTTCGGCGTCCAGCATTCCATTGAAGAGCGTTATCGTGGACCTGGTACGGATGCCTGGATGGATGGATGGATGGCAAACAGCCAGGCAGATAGCCAGGCAGGCAGTGAGTGAGTGAGTGGAGAGGGAGAGGGAGAGGGAGAGGAAAGCTGGGCGGTTGGAAAAGGCAGTTAGTTGAGCATCGATTGTGCTGTTTTCTTGTTGTGTGTGGCGCGGCCCACAGGATGGATGCCTACTGGACAGCGAACCTCTGGTGAGAGGGCGCAGCGCAGCGCAGTGAAGGAGGGGGCTTGTCTGTCTCATGTGTGTGCTTGACGTGTCCGTTTGTTTTCCTCAGTGGTGGCTGGCGGAGATCGAGGGCTTCGGAAAAGTGGGCCGCATTTTGACTGAGGAGGACTGCCGCGAGACCACTGGCCTGCGCATCGATGAGATCGTCGAACTGCGGTACGCCGAGCAGCCATGGGACGAGGCCGCCACAGGCATCACGCGAAGGGCCCTCCGAGACCTGATCCTCTCGCTAATGGTCAAGCACATCCAGGAGAGCGGCCATCCCATGAAGGGAATGAAGGACGCCTTGGACTTTGCCAAGTCCAAGAAGGTCCTGATGGCCATCTGCTCGTCCAGCGCGATGCCGCTCATCGAGGCGGCCGTGGATCGCCTCGGCATTCGGGGGTACTTCGACGTGCTCACATCTGCTGGCGACCTGCAGCACGGCAAGCCGCATCCTGAGGTGTATCTCAATTGCGCCAAGGCGCTGGGGGTGCACCCGACTCAGTGTGTGGCGATCGAGGACTCTCTGAACGGGGTGCTGGCTGCCAAGGCTGCCCGGATGAGGTGTGTGGCTGTCCCGGATGTGCGCCATGGGGGGGAGGTGGACAAGCGGTTTGTGATTGCCGACGTGGTGCTCGAGCATCTTGGTGAGTTTGACCAGTCTGTGTGGGATCGACTGTGCCCGTCAGACGTTGAGAGGGGGGGCTGATACAATTATGTACTTCAGTAATAATGCTGCAGTGTAGTGTGCGTCTTGTGTTGAGAGGTGATTTGCTGGCTGCTTCTCTTGTGGTGCTGGGTGCCCCGTGTTGTTAGTGTGGCCCTCCCCGCCCACACGCAGGGAGGGCCACACTGACAGCACGATGCCGACAGAGCACTGAAGAGAACCGGCCATGCAAGCTGGCCAGAACCAACCATTGGATGATTCCATTTTGTACGTGTGATCATCGGAGGGATTGCGGACAGACGCTGTGACCTTTTCAAGCTTCGCTAAGTCAAGCCCACAGCATGAACGCATCCATCCATCCATCCACCCACCGTCAGTCTGTCTACCGCTAGCTATCTGACACCACACCCAGACGGACAGACGCTCTCTGACACGCACCACAAGGCATACACGCCAGGTTGCCGGTCGATTAAACACACATACACACATACCTGCGTCCACACAAAGGCGAGCAGCAAGTGCGGCAAAGGTCTGCAGGTAGGCAGATATATGCTCAAAATCTGATGTGGAAGTCAACGGGCGTGTACGTGTCACGGAAGGGACAAAACCACGCACAAAAAGCATTTTGGTCGGTTGGAAAGGTGCCTGTCTAGTCAGGTTGATGGGCGAGGTGAGTGAGTGAGTGAGGATTCTAAACCACATCCTTGTTCTCTCCCGCAAGCAGCCACTCATGGGTCAGGTAGCGAGCGGGTTGACGCAAGTGCGTGCCGCACTCTCTCCTCTCCCTCGTCTCACTCTGTTGACGAACAGACAAACAGACCGAAACACGTGAGGCATAGCAGTGTGTTTGTCGCCAACAAGCCATGCTCCACCCAGACATAAGAAAGATGGTACATGCGTCAGGCAGGGACGAGCGCACACACACACATCCGAACGAACAAACAAGACGTCCAGGCAACCAGTGTGCGACAGGACTGCACACACCACACCAGAGAGAGAGGGCATTGGCCACTCACAGACAGACAGGCGTGCACTGCACGGGGAAGCAGGCAGGCAGGCAGGCAGGCGTAAAGTCAGTACTTGTGTGTATGTCTTTGTTGTGCGTGAGCAAAGAAAGAGACAAGTTATACCTACAGCTAGACACACAGACAGGTAGGTAGCTAGGTAGCATCACACAGTGGGGTTCCCTGCCTCTCCCTCTCTCACTCACTCACTCACTCACTCACTCAAAGGAACACTCAAAGGAACAAGACACTCACTCACTCAGGCGTGTGTTCTGTTGTGTGTTGCCATCCATCCATCCAGACAGACAGACAATACACACACACCTGCTTAGCTTACATACATATTGGATGGATATGGATGGATCACTGCTTCTTGAAGAGCTGGCCGATCTGCCAGTTGCACGCGTCCACCACCAACAACGTCTGCACCCACCAGCCAAACCAGCCAATGACAAAACATTAACAATTACAGATACCGACCGACCGACCGACCGACGCGAAGCTGAGTGAGTGTGTGTGTGTGTGTGTATGTCGACTTACGATCATGGCGTGTGGTGCGATACGGACGTAGTATGTGGGGTAGCCGCTGTAGAAGGCCAGCGGACCCTCCTCAGCCATCACCTACACACACACAGAGAGAGAGAGAGAGAGATAGAGACCACGCCTCCATCGACTTGGCATCTGGCTGACCTACCTTTGTGAAGCAGTGGAACATGTTTCTGTAGGGCAACTCCTTCGTGACCGGGTCAGGCTGCACACACGCACACACACACATAAAGAGCAGAGAGAGTATCGACCATAGAGTCAGCCCCACACAGCGGTCGGTGTGTATGGGTGTCAGTGTCATGCAGGTCAGGTGTGTCAGTGACCGACCTTTTGTTTCTGTATTCTGGTCTTCATGAAGTCGAATGGGAGCGAAAACGTCACCGCGAAGAAACCCGAGATGGCACTTGCACTGACACACAAGACACATAACCAAGCATCACACACAGCAATGGCTCCCTCCTTGGGATGGTTGATGTGGTCAGGCAGTGTGTGAGAGCCGGTTTCCCGTCCTACAGGAGCGTCTGCCACTGTCCCTTGCCGTAGTAGTGGGCGATGGTCTCCTTGGCCTGGTCAAACGACGCCAACTGACCTAAAAGCACACACACGGATGGGCAGACAGAGCGATATGGATCATCCATTCGTCCGTCCTGCGTCAGTCAGTCGGCCCCACACGCATTCCAGTCCATTCCATCCATACCGAGGTTGAGTGCCATGGCTCGCACGACTGTGGGCGTGCACCCCTTCCAGAGGGCGAAGAACCCCTCCTCCTTCGGGATGCGGTACAACGCGTCAAACACACCTGCATCACATCAAGCCACACATGGATCGTCCATCGGCTGCACTAGGGTGTGGTGTATCTATCGTGGCTGCCTGCCTGGCTTACTTACCCTTGTAGTGCCTCCGCTGCTCGACGGGCAGTGTGGGGTCGGCCTGCAGTCGGATGAGTGAGAGATCGGCGGGATTGCCGATCACCGAACCCACTGCACCAGCCCACAGGCCCGCCACACTCTTCTGCCACAGGGGAAGCGGCTTGTCTGAGGGAATGAGGGAGGGCACCATTGCAATCAGTGCAGGGACCAATCAGCCCCATCCACCCCCGAAGACACAATCAATACAATCAATGTAGCTGAGTGTTGGGTTCGTGTTTGTTCCTTGACTGACTGACTGACTGACCTCCTTGTTGCATGGCGTCGCACGTGACTCTGAAGACTCCCAATCGTGTGGTGGTGTAGGTGATCTGCCGGATGATGCCCGCGTCCAGGCCCTTGTAGAGGTTCAAAATGCCCTCCTCTTGGATGAACTTGGTCGCTATCGTGAACGGATTCTTGTTGCCGCTGACGTGACGAACGATGACCCCACAGGTGACACACTCAGACGTGCCTGAGGGGCTCGTGTGTTGGTCTTTTCTCACCCCTTCTCGACGAGCTGGATGCGCACCTTGATCATATCGATGGGCTGAACCTGCAAACACACACGCACACACACACACACACACACAGAGTGAGAGGCCCTGATGTCACACCTATTATCTGTGTGTTTCCTCCTGAAAAAGAGTGTGTTTGCTCACACAGCAGGTGGCTGTACATCCAGCGAAGCCTCCTACGAAGAACGGCTGCACCTTCCTGCACACCAACACATTCCAGACACACCACACAGTCCAGACACACAAGTATCTCGCTGCCTCAATAGTCACTTACTTCATCCATCCAGGCCGAGTGTCCCCCATTTTGGCGCCAAGCTACACCAACAACACGTTCTTTGGCCTGCGGTTTCAGAAGGGCACCTTCTTCGTTCCACCGCGAGCTCGTGGGGGCCCGCGGGGACCCCCAGTCTCTGATCTCGAAAGTGAAAACGTAGCTGGGGGACCTCGTCATGCGTTGATGCCTCTAACGCAGCGAATGACCATGCGGCCGCGTTTCGCAGCGGTTTTCTTTATTGGAAGTTTGCTTTCTTCCGAAGCCTTTCCCCGAACGAAGCCCATGGGCAATGGCTCTGTTAATGAGACCGTCGGCGAAGAGAGTGGCAGTAGCGACTGTGGCCAGGAGGGCACGAATGAGACCCAGCCATTGGGGTCGAGTGAGTTGAAGGAGAGAACTCAGCTGTCAGAAAGCGGGGAGAGTAATCGACGCCTTCGACGCGCTATGCGGCTATTCGACTGGACGCCTGAGACGGAGAATGCCATCAAGAGAGACCGCGTCAAAACCCTCCTGTTGATGTTCTACGATGCAGAAGCAGACTACGCACTGAGATGCGAGACTGGTATGTGATTTGACAAACACACACGTGACGTGACATGCACACACGTGAGTTTGTGCTGTGCGCGTGGATTTGTTTGTGCGTATGCCAGCACTCGAGCATGTCGCCTACGTCTTCCGCGCAGAGCAAATCCTGCACGTCTACGTCAGCATTGACAACCTCGCCTCTTTCCGCTCCCTTCTCCGTTAGCCTGAGAGGCACACAGACACAGACAGAGACCGACAGACAGACAGGCGGCCAGACAGACAGACGATAGACAGGCAGGACGAGACGATTTCCAGTGGGCAACACCCTCACCCGTATTCTGTCTGCCAGGTGATGATCCAGAGACCGATGCCCCTTTCGCCTTGATCCTCGAGAGACGTGCGAGATTTCGAAAATATTTGCTCGAGGCACCGGCTCACGGCGAAGGACTCATCGGCGTCGACATCATGAAGACTCGCGTTGATCTCGTGTGCTCGCCTAATAGCCTGGCAGCATTCGCACAGGCATATTTTGACGGCAAGCTTTCACCGTGGCTGCGAAGCGAGGAGGCCTATGACGAGAGTGATGATACGCTGGTGCGGCAGTTGGTTGGTCGCCAGTTCGACCACAAAGTGATGGCGTCAAATGTTGACGTCCTCGTGTTCTTCTACGCCCCATGGTGTGGTCATTGCAAGCGGTTTGAAGCCAAGTTCCGTCAGCTGGCCGAGCGACTTCGAAACGTCAAGACGCTGGAGTTCTATAAGATGGACATGACCCGCAACGATGTGCAGCATCCCTCAATTGATATCGACCGAGTGCCGTATGTTCGCCTGTTCCCTGCAGACGACAAGACAGATGTCCGTGTGTTTGATCATTCACAGAGCGACGTGTTGGCTTACGGGACGCAGTTTCTGCTCAATGAAGTGAGCATCGTAATAGACCTGGAGCAGGCGAATCGAGAGAGAATGCGCCAGGATCAGGCGAAACAGCCAGAGACGGACCTCTAGGCAGTCTCGTGCGTTGGTGTGTGTGTGGGGGGGCGAGGGAAGGTGGGAGGGGGTCAGGGGAGGAGAGAGGGATTCAATCAGATAGAGAAGCATTGACCGAAGTCTGTAGTAGTCGTAGTATACTATATATGTACAGTGCAGCATTCATTCATTCACGTGTCCGACACGAAAGACCATCTCCACTCACTGGTTGATCCAGCTAGCTGTACACACACCTGGCAGCAGTCTCTCCCAAGAAGGAAGGAAGGAACCCGCCTGCCCTATTGCGGCGTTACAGCAGGCGGCACATTCTGCCCCCTCCGGAACTCTGCAAAAGCCCTCAGCTTGTTGATGAGCTCCGCCTTGACCTCGTCAGGCACCGTCTGGCGGCCGTAGGGCTGCACCTGCTTGATCAAGTCCTCCACAGACACCTTGTCCATCCCCATATTGCGTATCCGCTCTGTAGACACACACACATACACGCAGAGGAATCAGCACTACCCGAGATCGAGCCGCCTTTGCAGGCGCTTCTGTGGCGGTCTTGTTCTCACCAAGGCAGTTTCGTTTGACTTCTTCGCGCCACCCGCAGTGCGCCAGCTCAGTCCTCAGCCACTCCTTCAACCTGCCGAGGAAACACAGCCATTCCACATGGATTCATCGACATGCTTAGCACCTCTTCTCTGCCCATGGCTCACCGTGTTTCTTCACCCGATTTGGCGAGGTCCTCTTCCAACTGGCTGCGGCGCTCGTTTGCCATGGTGACTCGCCTTCCCTTGCTCTTCGTTGTTGTGCTGCCAAAACCGGCTCTGCGTGGGGGTTTTGGCAGCACAATCGAAACCGCCTGGGTGATGGTGGCCGTCGAGAGGCGGGGGAAAGGGAAGGGAAGGAAAGAGAAAGGCCAAAAAAGGTGCGAGCCTACGCTCCAAGCTTGCAACCGCAACGAGAGGATTTGAAGGCTTCTGGAGGAGCACGGCAGCTCTCACGACGACGACGTGACCAGAGAAGGTTTATTCTGAAGGCGGAGGAGACATTGGTTGCTCGAGTATCCCGCAGCGGCCAAGCGTCTCACCCCCTGCAAGATCCCGCCATGCAGATGCGTGGCCCTGCCAGGGCCAGATCGCCTCTCCAGCCACTCATGATCTCTGCCGCACTCACCCTTCTCGCTGCCCTCCTGCTTCTCGCCCTCATGGCGACCCCAGCGGTTTCCCGCCCCTCCCCTGCAACCGTCTGGCCGCTGAAGCGCTCGCAGGTGGCGCGGAAAATGCCGGCGAAATCGGCCAGCTGGCCGCCGTCTTTCGTGCCGCTTCGCAAGTCGGGCCTGACCAAGACCAAGGACGCCGTGGTGACGTTCATTTTGGACAAAACGGCGTCGGCGAAGCAGGCCAAGAAGGGGTGGTTGAAGGGCAAGGGGATGCGGATCAAGTGGGGGCTGCCGTCGGTGAGGGGGGTGAGGAAGAACAACCCCAACAGCGGCAACAAGAAGCGGCGGGGGGGCATTTTTAGCGGAGGCGGCAAGTTCAGGAGGCGGCAAAGGTGCAGGACCAAGAAGAGCAAGTCGGTCATAGCGACCGTCTTCCCGAATGCGCCGCCCATGGACCAGGAGACCAAGGCCAAGCTGAGGATGGGCACGTTGGGCATCCTCTTCTATATCCTTGCCGGTTGGTTGGTCACTGAGTCATTGAGTCGAGAGCGCCACGGTGAAGCAACAGTGTTGGTTGCTCTTTTGTCTGTCGGTGCGTGCCAGGTGTGATATCGTGGAGCCAGGACCTACCGGTGGAGGACCTGGTGTTCGTCATCAGCTCCCACTTCGTGCTGCAGGCGGGCGGCCGCACCTTCGAGAAGCTCCTCCCCACCAAGCACCTCCCCCCCATCCCCTCGCACATCGCCAAGCGCTTCTACGCCCTCTCGCCATTCGAGCTGCTCTTCACCGTCCTCATCCCTCTCTCACTGATCATCAAAGGGCCGCAAGACAAGCTGGCGGGCATCCTGGCGCCGCACGTGTTCGTCTTCTCGGCGCAGATAGCGCTCGAGAGCCTCACCAAGCTGGGCATCGGGCGGTCGGCCATGTTCTTCGCCACTGTGTGGTTCAACGCCTACCGGCTGATCCCGCTGGTGCGGTGGCTGGTGGCGTCGTACGCATGGCCGCTGCCTGGGTCCTTCCTGCTGGGGACCGTGGCCACGCTTCTGTGGATCTACTCGACATTCGGATTCGTCGTCGGTCAGTGAGGCAGTGCAGTGAGGCGCACAGAAACTCACTGTGGTACGGCGTGATGGTCTCTGTTCGTGTGGGTGCGCGGCTGCAGGAGAGTGGGGCCCCTGGTGGCTCAACTACCGGTCCAAGTACCTGGCCATGAAGAGGAAGCCCTGGCATTGGCTCGTGCGCATGGAGTGAGGCAATGCATGTGTGTGTGAGTGTGATGTGTGTATGGTTTTCGTCGTGCTTTTTGTTGCTTTCCACCCAGCAAGGTCCGTGCGGACGGACGTACTTGTGTACGGATGTGAGTGTGTGTGTGTGCATGGTCGGTCGGTCGGTCGATGAGTGCGTGCGTGTTTGCCGTTCGTCGATGTGTTTGTTATGTATGCAATGGTGTGGTGTATGAGATATTTGTATGCCAGGCATCGCATCGCAGGCACACACGAGTGCCCTATGTATGTGTGGACGACGCGACACGCACGACTCGACAGATGTCGATTGTCGATTTTGCGGGAGAGGGAAAGAGAGACTGACTGACTGACTCAATTCGCTGCATTCGTGCATGGCCCCGCTTCTACCTCTCCTTCCTTCATTCCTTCCTTGCCTGCCTGCCTGCCTGTATCATCTACTCACTCTCTCTTTAACTAACAAACTGACTGCGTGGATCCATCCATCCGTCCGTCCATGCTTGGTGTTGTTGTGTGTGTATACCTATGATCGGTGTATTGATGTATACGTACGTACGTACGTACGTGTGTCTGTATACATACAATACACACATCTCTATCTGAGAGCAGTAAGTACGTCTGTCTGTCTGTCTGTCTGTCCGCTGCCGTGCGGACCGGACGCGACTCGCTCACTCACTCACTGACTGACTACATTCCCGCTCTCTGCCATGCCAGATGACCGATGCTGCTGGCTGGCTGCATCCATCCTTCCTCCTTCCCTTTGTGTGAGAACAGACAGACAGACAGACAGTACATGGCTCTGTTTTCCCCCTTCGCCATATATCCTCTGACCGATTCCTCCTGTAGTAGCGCCATCGTTGTCTGCGCGGGGGGTTTACTGACATGGGTGCTGGCAATGCAATGCTGCTGGGTGTCCGCCGGTCAGCCGGACACCAAGCATTGATGCATCGCACACACCCTCACAGGCAGACCCCTACAGAGACATACGACGAGAAAGCGACGTCAGTATTCTGACGGAGAGAACAGTCAAGGGCGTTTTCATGCCTCTGGTTTTCCTGCCTACGCAAGTAAGTGTGCGTCCCATGTGTAAGGCCTTTTGCGTCTGTGGGTCATGCTTTCGGGGGTGAGGGGTGACAGATGTGACAGCGCGACGGATCGTTGTCACACGATGTAACCCCTTCGCTCCTGCGGTCTGATACACAGCCAGCCCGAGAGAAACACGCAGCCAGCCCAAGACAACCAGCACGTATATATATTTGTCTCAACTTCACTAGTGGACACCTTGGCAGCCCATGCGCGCTGCAGCACAGAAGACAGACACAGCCCTCCTCAGATCCCATCCATCAGCGGCCGAGGATCCCATCCCGGCCGGTGGTGGTGTTCCAGCTTCTCCCCCTTTCGTGGCGATCAAACACGCAAGATTGCGCCTGCTGCTCCGTGTGTCCGCCCCCGCAGTGCCTGATGCCGCCACGCATGCCTTGGGGCGGTGGATCCAGCGTGTAACGGTCGATCCACTAGCGAACGGTGTGGAAGACCACTGAAGATATATAATCTGTAGCTGAGCTGCCCGAGGCCAGCACCCACCCTCCCAGGGCAGCCGGCACACCACCGAGGCCGGGCCCTGACCGAGTGACAACCGCTATTATGTGGACCACCCTCTCTTTGCTTGTCTTGCCTCCCCTCCTGCTTCTCCCCCGCCTGTCGCTCGCCGCCTCCCCGGCCTGTCTGTCCGGCCACATTGCCGACGGCATCAGCGTCGGCTTCTATCGCAGCTCACTGAAACCCAATCGGACACCCGCCGTTGAGTCCCTCGCAGAGTGCGTGGCGCGATGCCAGCAGCACTACCTCTGCGCCAGGGCCACCTTTGCCATCAGCACACAGGGCGCGACGGTGTGTCTGTTGCAGACCAAGGGGCCCGAAACGGACGCCGACCTGACCGACATGTCAGCGTCGCTCTACACCCAGGCCAGCAACACCAAGCTGCCCGAGACCAACAGGATCGCTTCGGTCCGCGTCACGGGCGACTGTGAGTGCGATGACCTCGGCGACAAGGACTGGGATGGGATTCCCAACTGCTACGACGACGAGGAGTGTAAGCCAAGCACAGCCGAGGATCAGACAGACGAACGAACATTTCGGCAGACAGACACAGAGGCAGTCACTGCACTGGCTGTTGATTGAATGTGTGTGTGTTGTACGTAGCAGACGAGGCAGCGGCAGAGGTGGACTGCTTCGAGCATGGTGTGTTTTACCCCCTGGCGGAGCAGGTGGGCGACGGGATGGGCGGCAAGCTGCCCTTCCGCAACGTCATGATGGGCATCAGCACCGCGCGGCAGTGCCAGATCAAGTGCTGGGCGTGGGACGACTGCGAGTCGTTCACCTTCTCCTACGACCATGGATGCTTCCTGCTCACCGGCAAATACACCGATGTCAGGAAGGAGGAAGAGAGAGTCAGGAGTATCTATGCCGCATCGGGACCCAAGTACTGCCCCCCCAAGAGGGGAGGAGACGAAGAGGTCATCGGCGGGTGCATCACACGCGGATGCGGCTACTACTCGACGCCAATCGACGTGGGCGACGGCCACCTCGACGACGTGGCCACGCCCTTCCGGTGCCAGACCTTCTGCCAGCAGCACGACGACTGCGAGGCATTTAGCTACGACTACAGCACGCTACTCTGCACTCTGCACAAGACCGAAGACGAGCAGACAACCGGACTCACCTGGACCCAGCTATGCGGGCCACGGTCAGTAAATCTGTCAGGCAATCAATGCCGGCCGCAATCTGCCGCCCGCTCGCACATTGCCTGCCTTGGTCTCTCTCTTTCTCTCTGTCTGTCTGCAGGTCGTGTGATTTGTGGCCGGACCCGCCAAAAGCCACCGGTCCGGTAGCGACGGCACTGAAGCTGAGCGCGCCGATGGAGGATTACATCGACGGTCTGCTGGCCAAGATGGGCAACCTTGAGAAGGTGTGTCAGATGGTCATCAGCAACGACGCCTTCAACGAGGGGCCCCGGTCGCTCATCAAGTACAACGTCAACGTTCTGTGGCCGCCCATGCACGAGACGCCGGACTTCTTCCTCAAGACAAAGAGACAAGTGAGTCAAGTGCGGGGGATGGATGGACAGCCACACACAACAAGGGAGAGATGTTCGTCTGTCTGTCTGTCTGTCTCTGCCTTTCCCCGTCTGTCTGTGTGCCTTAGTACTACATGAATTCGATGAAGACCAACAAGGGTAAGCGGCTGGGCATTCCGTCCATCACGGCGGTGGATGCGGTCCACGGGCTGGGCACCATCCCCGAGGCCACCATGTTTCCACACAACATCGGACTCGGATGCGCCAACGATCCCGACCTCATGAGAAGAATCGGTCAGCACTCACACAGACAGACAGACAGAGAAGGAGGAGAAAAGCAAGCTCAATATAATGCGGTTTATGTATAATTGGCCACCCAACACACCAGGTCGCGTGACTGCGTTGGAGATGAGCGCGGTGGGCGTCGAGTGGACGCTGGCCCCCATGACCGCAGTGCCCGCCGACTACCGATGGGGCAGGACATACGAGAGCTTCTCAGAAAACGGCACCGTCACGGCCGCACTCGTCGAGGTAATTAATTAAATTGACACACGTACCACTATGGGCACATATAAGCACACACACGGGACGGACTGCTTCCACGCATCGCCCCCATCCAATCGATGCATCCATGTGTGTAGGCGTATGTCAACGGTCTGCAAGAGAGCATGGCCAATGGCACCGGCGTGGCTGCCATGTGCAAGCATTTCCTCGGCGATGGTGCCACCCTCGGCGGTGTGGTGGATGGCGACGCTGAGATGGGGGAGGAGGAGCTCATCCGGGACCACAACGCGCCATTCATTGGGTGCCTCAGAGCCAGTACGCCCCGCCCCCAACACACCACAACACATGGGAGGATCGGCGTGTGTGTATGTAATGTGTGTGCGGGGGTGCAGAGATGATGAGCACGATGCCGTCCTTCAACGACGTCAACGGCATTGAGATGCACCAGCACAAGCACTACCTGTCCGAGATCCTCAAGGGCCACTACGGCTTCGACGGCGTCATCATGGGCGACTGGAACGCACACTCGCACATTCCGTCATGCACATCAGTCTCCTGCTCACAAGGAATCAACGCAGGGGTCAGTCAGTGAGGGCAGCAGTGCAGTGCAGCGCACAGCAAAAGAAAGCATTTCAACACACACAACACAACTGTGTGAGTGAATGGTATCCATCCTATCTATCTATCTATCGTACATACCAGATCGATATGTTTCTGATATCGACGTCTGGCGGGGAGCACTTCACCATTTTCATCAAGAACACCATTGCAGCCGTCAAGAACGGCACCGTGACGCAGGCGCGCCTCGACGACGCTGCACGGCGGGTGCTGCGGCTCAAGGCGAGGCTGGGGATGATCGGCCCCAACGTCAAGGCAATGGACAGGATAGGAAACGTCAACCTCACCACCATCGGCAACCCCGAACACACCGCCGTCGCGAGAGAAGCCGTCCAGAAGTCGGCTGTCCTTCTGAAGGTAGGTGACGACGAGAGAGGCACACAAGGTGGCAGGGAGGGAGGAGAGAGTCATTCGTGTCTGTCTCTGTGTGTGTGTCTTGTGTGTGTCTTGCGGCAACCAAACAGAACAATGGTGGCGTACTGCCGTTGAAGGCGAAGGAGGGCATGCGAGTGCTGGTCATGGGCAAGGCCAGGTGGAGCTACCTCGCGTGCGGCGGGTGGACGCTCAGCTGGCAGGGACTGTGTAAGGACGACAGACAGACAGACTGACTGACTGACAGACTGACTGACGTACCCATTATATATGTCTCTCTCTCTCTGTATGTGTGTGTAGATAACGACGACACTTTCAACGACACGTCGAACAAACACGCCATCAGTCTGCTGACGTCGCTGCAGGAGCACGCCAAGCTCCACAACTACACAGTCGTCGACGACGAGGAGGGACAGGACTTGCGAACCAACAAGTACGACGTGGTCATTCACGTCATGGCGGAGGACCCTTACGCCGAGGTCGAGGGCGACTATGACGATGGCGAGAGCCTCATGCACCATAGAAACTGGTAAGGGGAGCTGTGCACTGCAGACAGACAAAGATGAGATGCATCCATCTCTCTCTCTCTCTCTCTGTGCTGTGTGTGGCGTAGGTCCAAGTTCGGCAAGCACACGTACCCGGAGGACTTTGTGCGCCTCAAGAAGGCCCGGGACTACGCCCCCACCACCCCAGTCATCACCATCTTCTACTCAGGCCGCCCGCTGTACATCAACGCGGAAATCAACCTCTCAGACGCCTTCATCGAGGCGTGGCTCCCCTGCAAACAGGCCGGGCCGGGCCTCACGGACCTCCTGTTCGGCGAAGTCGATTTCACAGGCAAGCTGTCGATGTCCTGGCCGGCGCACCCCTGCCAGTTCAACATCCACAAGGGGGACGGGCAGCGGCCGCTATTCCCCTACGGCTACGGGCTGACATACAAGGACAAGCATCCAGAGAAGGACCTCCCGATACTGGACGTGGTTGAGCGCAACGTGTGCCACAATCCCTGCAAAGACCCCAAAGAGGGCGAGTACACTTGGGGGTCGCCAGACTGCAACCTCGGCAGGAGGACCAACCTGTGGTCGGTGCTCGATTGATCGATCTCCTCTTGTCTCACCTCACCTCATCTCATCTCATCTCATCTCATCTCATCACACCCACTTGGCGAGCGAAAGGGGGCGCGGCTTGTGGGTTTTGATGGACTCCGGCCGGCCGGGCCGGAGGTTTCTCTTGTGTGTTGGTTGGTTGGTTGGTGTCTGCGTGTGTGCGGTGTGTGCAAAGGGGCGCTGTGTGTGTGTGTTGGGTGAGGGGTGGGTGGGGGGGGAGGGGAGGGGGGCGTGTGGCTAGGTAGGTGTTTCTAGTTTTGGGCCTTGCGCGTCAGCCTGACTGATGGCCGGCATAGCATAGACACTCACACCCACACTCGGATGGATCCGGCTGCTGATAATTGTATTGCTGCTCTTTTTCCGTGGCTGCTGCTCCTGCTACCAAATAAGTGCTGCGTAAGCGTGTCTGTGTGTGTGTGTGTGTGTGGATGTGTATCGTATGTGCGTGTACTTGCGCGCGCGTGTGAATCCGTCTGTCTGTCTGTCTATATTTATCCCCTGGGACAGCTCGACCGACTCGACTGGCTCGCCCATATGGCCTGGCTTGGCTGAACGATGGACGGATGGATGGATGGAGGATTCCTTGTTTCTTGCCTCTCTCTCTCTCTCTCCATTCACTCAGTCACTGCCTGGGTCCATGTTTTCATGTTTCCCTATTTGATTTTCTCTGCTTTTCCTCCTTGACCCAATGGCTGGGCAGCCAGTCTCTCTCTTTCTCCCTCTCTGTCTCTCATGTGAAGAATGACGAACCTGTGTGCTGGCTCGCGTCTCTCTCTGTCTGCCGTCAGTCATCGGTGTCCACCTCCGGGATGTGAACGCATCCACACATCTACCTCTTCCTCCCTCCCTCCCTCCCTCCCTAGTACTGTCGTCTTGTCGTGACAACGACAGACAGACACACACACGGAGAGAGAGATATCACCACAAAGAGAGACGGCCGGGCAGGCAGGCAGACGGGCGGGCGGGCGGTGGGGAGTGGGGAGTGGGGGGAAGGGCTGGTTGTTTTGCTGAACGAACATGATTATGATATCAGTCAGTCAGTCAGTTGGTCAGCCCATATTATTAGGGGGCGGCCGGCGCTTGTTTTTATGATGTCTGTGTGTGTGTGTGTGTGGGTATGTGGCCGTCAACCGCCTATCTATCCTATTGTTGTTTGCGTTGAGATTGATTGATTGATCTAGACACACATAGATAAGTACCCATGCATCACCACATAGAGTGTCTGTCTGTCTGTCCGTCTGTCTGTGTTTCTGCTGCTGTGATACATGACATGGGTCCATCCATCCATCCATTCTCCATTCCATGCCATTCCATGCCTGCCTTTGTTTCTAAGGTCTCCCTCTCTCCTCTCCCTCTCCCTCTCCCTTTGGGTGTGCCATATACAGATAGCATGAAAGGGTGCGTGCGCCTGAGTGTCCGTGTGCTTTAGACAGAGTTTGCATATGCGTCATCTATCGCATCGGTGTGTGTGAAGTCTATTTATCCATCCGTCAGACAAACCATCCATATCTCATCCCTCCCCTCCCCTCCAGCACTTTCTGCCTGTCTCCTCTCCTCTCTGCCTGTCTGTCTGTCTGTGTCGATAGTACCACCCCTCTCTCCTCTCTTGATCTGCCTGCATGCCTGCCTGCCTCCCTCACTGCCGCCCCGCCCTGCCCTGCCCGCCCACATTTCTTGTCTGGTGTGTCCTGTCCTGGCTGTACAGCGATAGAAACGTCCGTCCTCGTGCGGTGCGTGTGCTGGCGTGGGGTGTGTGAGAGTGTGAGAGTGTCTGTGTGTGTGTGTGTCCATAAGGGCGTCCATACGAATCTCCCGCTCCCTCCCTCCCTCCCTCCCTCCACGCCGTCCCCGTCCCCCTCCCTCCCTGTCGCCCGCCCAGCCCACTTGCTTCGCTTCCTTTGTGTGTGAGGTGACATAGTCCGTGTGCTCTGTGTGCGTGCATCACTAGCTGAATGCATGTTTGAATGAATGAGATGGATCCCTCCATGCCATGCCATGCCATGCCATGCGTGTATGTGTGGCCGTGTCGTTGTTGCTGTGTTGGTGTCGCTGGTTGGTTGGTTCATGTGATTGATGTGATTGATGTGATGTGTGTGCAGTCAGTCGTTACATTATTATCCGTCCGTCACGCCACGCGGTTTGGTCATTTAGGTCAAACGTGCACGACTCATGGCTCATGACTGTCTGTCTGTCTGTCTGACAATAGACGCACATGGACAATAACCGTCTGTGGGCACACGTGCGTCTTTCCCCAACACCACACACATTCACACCACACACACACACACACACACACGTGGGTCGGCATCTCGGTGTGTCGGGCTTTGGCAAATTCGCAGCATGCAGTCAAAAAGAGTTGTAGAGAGAGTCCGAGAGTCCTATAAAGCGTCTGTCCCTCATCCAATCGATGCACGCATCACTCTCACACACAAAGCACACACATAACATGTTTGACATCGATCGACTTGGTCGATGCGATCAACAGACAGACAGACACGCACAGACACACACATGCATGCACACGAGTACCTATCCATCCATCCATCCATCTATCCAGTCACCCCGAAGAAAAACCATGATGGACGATAAATATGCGCACAGTGATGTGGCAATCAATGCAATCAATCAATGAGGCAGGCAGGCAAAACCAATCAACGGTGCTATTACATATGTATGTACATCCAACTCAGCCCCCCCCTCCCCC